CTTACAAATCATAAGTATACTATATAAAAATTTAGCACCTACAGAGGTTGATGTGCCAATCTGTTTTTGAGGAATCTCTAACAATTGACCTGGTTCTCTGATTAACAATTCCGAGACATTATTCATTACACAACTTGCACATCCAAACTTGCAGCACTTGGTATTCCCAAGCAGTCACCCATCTAGATACTGACCAGGTTTAACATTGCTTAACTTTAGTGAACATACAGGAACCAGTTTAATATGATGTGGCCCTAAACCTACATTTTTATTAACAAACCTTGATATGAAAAAGTGCTGAAACCTCAGTCTTGATAGAAGAGCTTTTTGGTTTGGCCAAATGCTTTTCAGCATTCCTTTGTAAAATATACAGAGGATTTTATTATCCAAAGTAATTCATTTTAATAATAGACTGTATAATATTTATAAAAGTTTCAAAGAGTTGAATTGAAAAATCAACTTTTGATGTTAATTAATAAACACTTGTTTTTATAGAACTCTTTGAATATACATATTCCAGGGCTGGCCAAAGAAAAAATTGTGAGAAACATGCCATTCTTTGACATATTTTTAATTCTATGTTACTAAACTTTAACTCTATCATGTTTTGTTCCTGTAGTTAATTCAAGGCATAGACAATCATGGCTGTAACCATATTCCTTTTGTTTATCTGTGAATCACCCTGATGTCTTGGGAAACATAGTGGAGTGTTTTCTCATTACCTTATCCATGATTTTAAATTCAGAATAGTCCTTCTCTTAGACTGGCTTCTAACCAAGGCTAGAGAACACAGTCATCCTATGTGATTTAACCTATAGCTGAGATGGGTAGAAGCAAATTCAAGCCTTGCCTAAGGGCATTTATGCAGAAATGAATGCAACAAACTAGGCCTGAATTTGAACTCTGCTCACTGATTCCCCTTTCTGTGTTGACATCTGATATGTTCCCCAGCATATGCCCACATTTCATTATCACATCATTAAATCTACAGAATATTGTCAAAAGTATCTGTCAAGATTTCCAGGATATTTTGTACACTCGATGATAGTATTGTGTATTTGTTAATATTTATTTTAAAATCTTAACACTTAAAAAAAAAAAAAAAATCCCCCACCCCAAGCAAATTGATAATGACACTAAGATACCAAGAATTACTGGAAGTGGAGAAGGACTTTGGTAAGGAGAAAGGACAATAAAAGAACAAGATTCAGGAAGACAACATGGTGATTGACATTGCATTTAAATTTTTGAAAAACATTGGTGACAGAAAAACAAGAAACTTGATGAGTTCCACAGGCAAGAGTGTGAGAAAAGCTATAAGCTAGATGTAGTCATAAGTAGTATTCTATTTCAATAAAATAATGAGAACTAGTAGTACACTTAAATTCATGCATTCAGGGTTCCAAGAGAGAGAGCTCATTAGAACAATTGCTATGAAAATATTTATAGAATAGACACATAGAAACCTGGTCATGTCCAATAAAATTGCAGATCCTTCTTTGGATTTTGTTGAGAATTTAGTGATGTATAGCAGGGATGTATATACCGGACCAGATATGGCAATATTCAATGCATTAACAAATAGTATATTTGCAAATGTGCAAGATTAGTTCTGGCAAGAAAAATTATGTCCCAACAAAGTGAAACAATTTTAACAAAAATGTAAATTTTGTTGTGGTTTTCAAATATCTAAAGTTTATCATATGTTGTACTTAGATTAACCAAGTTTGGCCATCTCTGGAATGTTCAGACACTCAAGGAAATATTATTGTTAGGTAAATATTAACTATTGTTGTTGAGTAAAAGTCTAGAATCATAGCCATAAAACAGAGGTCATAATTTGCATGTACAAAAATGAAAGAAAATTTGCTAGAACTTTTGAAGAACAAGAAAAACTTTAACTTTTGAAACAAGACAAGTTAATTGCAGAACAAAAAATTTGTGAAGATTATTCTACAATATGACCTTGGTATACAAAAGTTGTTCTGACAGATTTGGAGATGTTCTAAAAGCTGTAAAAGAATATAACCATAGCTGAGTGCTTCATCAACAATGGCTCTTTGAAAGAATTGAAAGAAATTCTGATGAATTTAATTACTTCATAAAATTTGTTCCTGATAGATTGAGAAGCACTCTAGAAGCAGTAATCCAAAGAAGTATTGAACAAGGTTTTATGATCATTAGTGCTGGTTGGTCCACTTGTAATGGGCTAAATGATCTGGAATAGAATCAGTTATAATAATTCATGAAAATAATTTTGTTGATTTACATTAATCTTTATTAGTTCATGCTCAAACAATAAAGAATTGTTGGTTTCATATAAAACCTTTTCTCAGAAAAAAGGAACCAAGAAGCACCTGCATATTTATCTGAATATACATTTCAAGAAAAATATATTCAGATAATATATAAATATATATAAATGGTAGTACTCACTTGGAAAAACATTGGATAACTCAATTTGCAGTAGAACAAATCTGTACCCGAGGAAAAATAGGAAATAAAAAAGAAAGAACCATGAACATTAAAACAAGGCGAAAACAATTGTCAAGTGTTTAAGCTCCAATCCAAAGAAAAAAAAACAAACCCAAAACGATTAAAAAAAGCAACAACGTAAAGTGCTCAATACACTAAGTAGAGCAAGCTTATATATATATATATATATATATATATATATATATATATAAAAAATGCGATCTATGACTGTGATTCTAGACTTTTATCTGCTGTTGTTGATGATATATAACGGAAAAGAAATGGGTTTAGCTGCTTTGTCTTTGCTATTTTATTCATTTTGGGAAACTTGAAAAAATTTGTTTATTCTATCAAGACTTTCCAGTTCATCTTTCTTTGGTATATGATTCTGTTGGTAATATAATTTTAAGCATGATTTATAATATTTGAAATATTCTAAAAATTAGATTCTGATCAGCTCATTAATATTTAGAATATATATATAAAATCTGTATGCACTAAATTTTTGACTGAAAAAAAGGATTAGGTAAAGACTATATAATAACCAATAATCACACACACACACACAAATTTTATGTAATCAAAATTTAGGTCAAAAACTATTGCATTTGCTCATACTGTGGAATAATCATTTTTTTCCCCCTCCTACCCCGTACTCTTTTTTTCTTTTTTTCTTTTTTTCCTATTCTAAATGGTAAACAAATTTAAAATCTGAGTAAACTTCCTGTCTCACAAAATCCTGTGGCATGGTTACAGCTGCTTGCTCTTAGTATTGAATTTTATATAAATACGTTTACATATGGCAGCTGCAGTCCTTCAGTGTTTGAGTACTTGTTTTAGATTTTGTACTTGTAAAAGAGTGCAGTATTGAGAAGAGTTTTTAGTCTAGTGACCATAAAACCTGATGGTATATATCAGAAAAAATGCTCACATAACTACTATTAGTAATATTAGTTAATAGCAAAACAAAATATTTGTACTGTTTATCCATCAAGTGAGACAGCTTAACATGGATTATTTTTGTGGTTAAACTTTTTGGTATCCATATCCTTCTGTTTGCTTTCAGAATTCAAAAGAATTTTTTTTTTTTTTTTTTTAGTAATAAGTTCTATTTGTTAATGTCTATTTTCTTTGTTCCAAGCAAAATTTTGAATAAAAAGAAAGAAATGGTTATTTGAAGTAACTAGCCTCCTGTATGGCAGTGAGTACTGGACAATCTCCTCAAAGATGAAGAGACGTTAAGCAACAGAAATGTGATTTTTACAGCATACTGCTGAGGATACCATGGGATGAACATGACAAAGTTTTTGAGGAAATGGAAACGAAAAGGAAACTAATCCTTAACATCAGGAAGATACATTTGGGGTATATAATGAGGAAGGAGTGCTTGGAAACTATGATACTCACGGGACAGAGTGCAAGTGTGATAGGAAAACTGCACATAACATACTTAATGAGCTTGGGTAAATGGATGGTGGAACAGGGCTTGGGAGAAATAGAAAGTTTATCAAGAGCTACAAGGAACAGGAAGTTGTGTAGAGCCATGATTGCCCATGTCGTGAGGGGACATGGCAAAAAGAAGCAGATATATACCATTGTGACAAAAACTAATCTGGGATATTTCTTCTTTCTGATTGGTTAAAAAAAATTTAAACTTTTGTAAAAAGAAAAAAAAGAAATAAACCAATATATTTAATACTTGTTTAATATGAATCAAGAATGCATAACTCACAATTAGGGAAATTAATTGAAGAGAAAAATAAATTTTCTTAAATCACAAAGTAGAGAAGAAAATTCCAGTGAAATTTAGTTTGATTTTTTTTTTTTTTTTTTTTTTTTATATTGATTAAACAGCCTGTGAAAATGTTGGTTTCTGTGTTAACTTTTTTTTTTCCTGATGATTCAGCAAATATATGCTATTTGGAGACTTTAGTACAAGTTGTACTGGTGCTTATGACTAGTCATAACTATGCAAATCTAGTCATTTACTGTAAAGTAGCAGTGTGACTTAACTACTTGATTTAACTGTGTTGTTAAAGTTATTTAAATTTCTACGTGCAAGGCCAATGTCTTTTCAATAGTTAATCATTTCACATCAGCTGAGGCTCTTGATGTAATGCTTGAAGAGGTTTTATACTATTGCCGATGACATAAAATACTCTAATCCTGACAAGGCTATCATAGCTTGTCTGGGAAAGATGCTGATTCTTTTAGTTTGTGGTAAACTTTCTTGATGTTTATGTAAGCATGCTGTTATGTTTGGCAAACCATTCATAATCCATCCTTATTGGCATCAGTCCATTCATGTACAATGTACTCTACATTGTCTCGTTTAAAAATAGGAAGGTGGGTGCAAAGAAAACTGGTACAGATAATGGACATAACAGCTTTCATTTTATAATACTAGTATAACCATAAAAGTTGTAAATACTAAAAAGAAAAAAAACAAGACTACTTCATTTAAGAAAATGATATACTCAAAAAAGAAAAAAGTTTAATAATTAATCTTTGTAAAGAAGATGACCTACGACCATATCACATTGAAACACTGGTTCTCATCCGATCACTGAGGTTAAGCAACATTAATCCTGGTCAGTGCCTAGATGGTTGACCACTTGGGAATACCAGGTCCTGTAATCTTGAATGTGTGGGTAGTGTAATGGATAACTACTCAGAATTGGAAATTGGATAGCTGAGTTCACTTATGTGCAAATACCCTTGGGAAAGGTATGAGACCCCCCCTCTTTTCCCCTTAGTTATTGGTTAAATAGGACTTTTATTAGTAAATCATTATTATCTCAAAAAAGTCTTACAATCCAAAAATATTTTCTGGCTTTAAATAACCACTGGTTGATAAACCATAAAAACAAATCACTCAGTCCATGAAAGAGAAATTAAGCCAATAAAAAAAAAATAAGCTACATAAATCATGAAATTTTATGCAAATTAAAAATTTACATTTTAAATTGGTTTTGACCATTTGTTAAAATTAAAAAGTAAATGCAGATGTTTTATGCATCAACATGACTTTCAATAAAAAATGTAATTTTGAATGACTTTTTTCCATTGCATTTACAAGTAATTTGTAAATGTTATTTAGTTATTGTACTTTTTCCCAAGTATGTATTGCAATATATGACATGAAATCATGAGGTTAGGCAGGGGGCACAAATCTTTCTATGATGACATCACTTCAGATGTTTATATCTGCTCATTTCTAACATTTGCATACTAATCATGCAATTAAAATAGACTAATATAACCAATTTTAATACACACTTAAATTACTAACATCTCCAGAATTAAGCACAGATGCCATGAGGTCAACATGAGTCCATAAAAACAAATCACTTAATCAATTAAAAAGAAATTCAGCCAATAAAAAAAAAAAAAAAAATAAGCTACATAAATCATGAAATGTTATGCAAATTAAAATTTACATTTTAAATTGGTTTTGACCTTTTGTTAAAATTAAAGCTTAAAAGTTGTCCACACAACAAAATTGATACATGAAATGAATGTGACAACCAATGAAAACAAAATATATTTTAAAATTTATGTATACACAAATATAGATACCTCTACAGAAAATGTGATACCTAAGGTTTAAAATGAATTTTTAAAAAAGGAAAAGGCTTTTGGGGAAGCTTTTGTTTTAGCTTTAATTATTTACTTAATAGAGTAAATTCAGCAAAATACTTGGCTCTATTTCAAAACTAATTTGATTGGACGTGTTAGTGCTTTTTTTTTTTTTTTTTCTCTAAAAAAAATTTCAGCCACTGGTCATCATAATGTAATTCTCTTTAAGACATATTCCAAAAATAAAATATAATTTTCTGAATCTTTATTTGAGGAATATTAACGGATCTAAAGTATAATTAATCTGATTTGAAACAAATATTATTTACTTAAATTTAAAATGTCACATAAATGCTTGCTTTTTTTTTTTTTTTTGCATTTATACACAAAAAAAATTCAAAATTCTTTTAAAATATATTGGTGTTTGATGATTTGTACTAACCTTTTCCATTTCTGAATAGTAAATATAGTTTTTACTTGATATCATCTAAAAGGCTGAAATTAATACAGAATTTTAAGATTTAAAACTTAATAAATTATCGTAATTAAAACTTTAAAAAAAAAAATGAAAACAATTATTGAAAAAAACTATTATTCATTGAAAAACAAGAAGACCATAAGACAATTGTGTCCTTAATATATCTTATTCATAAAAGCAACTAAAAGCTTTTCTAATTAAATAATGTCATAGTTTTATTGCATTTTTTTTATTTAAAAAATCCAAGCAGATTTTCAGTAATTGATTTTTCTGCTTTACAAAAAAAAAATTGATGATTTAAATTCCTCAAAGAGTCCTGCTTTTAACTAATATAAATATGAAAAGGGTGGAATTTTAATTTCTCAATTTTTTTATAAAATAAACTAAAGACTTTTAAATAACTGAGATATATATATATATATAACTACAACTTTTGAGTCTTGTATTTTATTAAGTAATATTTTATTTCATAATAAATCGCCATTTGGATTTTTTTCAAACAGCTATCATTAGGAATTATTAATGGACTCAAAGATTAATATTACACTTGGTTGATAAGCATTTGAAAATAAATTGCCATCTATAATAAATTTAAGTAGAATATATAAGTATGTTAGACTATGTGAAAATAATTAATTTTTGTAAGAAATTAATAAATTTAAATATACATATATGAATTATGCTATTGAATGTTAATATCGAGGTTTTATTAATTTTTTCATTTGTCCTAAACAATTTTTTTGTTAAAATTTCAATTTTGCTACTGATAACAATCTCTTTACTATATCAGAATTAAGATTTATTTTTCCGTTAAGTAATTCTATTTACTAAAATAATTTTATAACTGGTAATATTGACTGGATATGATATAAGGATATTATTTTTACTCAAATTACTTCAAATGCAAAATATTTACTTTTACTGTTGTCTTGAAATGTGTAGCTCTTTCTTTGACACCCCCTTCCTGCAAAAAAAAAAAAAAAAATGAATGCAAACAAAGCATTCCAACATTTCTATACTTGTAGCATTCACTCAATGCTGGGTATATTAATATAATAATCAAATATATTGATAGGTTCTAATGATTTTTTTTTTTTTTTTTTTTTTTTTTTTAAACCCATCATTTGAATTGTATATTACTACATTGATTAGAATTCAGCTTATTTCAGATTACTATCACCCATTTCACATAAAGTTTGTTTTGTTTAGATAAATTTAATATTTTTGTTTTAAGAACTTCTGATTATTTCAAGTTAAAACTAATTAACAATTCTGTTTAATGTATTTGAAGATCTTAAATTTTTTGCAGAAAAAATGTAATAAAAAAACAAAAAAAAACTAATGCTGAAGGCAGAATTGTTCATCCAAAGAGCAACAGCTGGTTTACTGGTTAAAAGTATAAAATTCAGTTTGAATAAGAAACTGGATTGCATCACTTATCCTGAATCTTAGAGATTTTATGACTACTAAACGAAGTTGTTTTTGTTTTGTTTTCTCTGAAGTTAATTGTTGTCTTTCGAACAGACTTTCAATTTAATAAAGTGTTTTTTTTTTTGTTTTGTTTTTTTTTGGTTTTTCTTAAATTTTTATGAGCTGCTTCTGAAAAGTTTTTATCCCAATAAAGAAGAATGACCTTGAGCCATTAAATGTACTTGTTATACCACATATTCATTTTGCAATTAAACACACTTGGCATATCATTTCTCAAGTTTCTTGAATCCTTCCAAAAACATTCTGATGTTTGGCCATTGAAATACTGATTTTGGGAAGTGGGTTGGCTCCCAAGCATTATCAGCCTCCACTCTATATATTATGGTTAAAACCAGAAAAAAACCTAAGGCCTTTCAGCTGTTTATCTTCTTTTATTTCTCTCTCTCCCCCTCTCTATCTCTCTGTATCATTGGGTTACAGATGTTTCTCTTGTTACAAGCAGTACAGTTGTATAACTTGTCATGTTACATTAGTAGCATTGCTACTAAGCACTTACATCTGGCGATAAGTCATTAAATATGAAGCTATCATTTCTATATTGATGAAATCATTATAGTTTAAAGGGATGTCTTTTTGGTTAATCTTGAAATCATGTAGATACTACAAAGATTACTTGATAGTCTCCTTTATATAAAATAGTGTTTGGGGAAATATAAAATAAATTCATTTAAAAGAAGATGACTAAATAAACATTAAAACAAAGATTGTGAGTTTTAATAAGATGGATGAAGTAATGAGATAGCAGCTTTAGCAAATTCTATATTTAAGTCCAGAAAGGTGTTTCTGGTAATGTATCTAGTAACTCATTAAATCAGTAGATAATGAAATCAAAATAATGTCAGTGGAATTTTGTTTTATTACTACTTGAGATGTGAGATATTTTGTTGCAAAATGACTGCAGTATTTTCCTTTCTGCTGCGCTACAAGCTGACTTATCTTGAAACTCGAATCTATAGCAAAGCAACAGACCAACACCAATTTGATGAGAATAGTAATTAAAAGTATTTGGACAAAAAAAAATGCTAAAACAAACTACCAGATCTTTAAAAATACATTGGCTATTTCAATATTTATGCAGGTTATGTTGACCTTTTGCTTTCAGTATATTATTATCTAGATAATTCTAGGTATCCTACAATGTGTTTGTTTTCATGACTGATCCCATCTAAAATTGGTTTTGCAAGGAGATTCATTACTTGTGTGTTGAAAAATGTTGCAGACGCCTGATAACTTATCAGATAATATTATACATCATATTTTGTATTTTTTTTTTTCTTAACAAGAATCAAATTACACCAAAAATGGAGTGTTTCTTCTGTATCTGGGCTGAAGCTGCTCAATTCTCACTTTCCAGTCTTGACAGTTCAAAATCATTTACTTGGTCTTGTGGAAGATGACTTATTTTTAACATTGTAGACCTTTTTCCCACAGATCTAGCCTTGCAGACCTATCACCATTCTGTTGCTATTTTCATGACAACTGTTCAGATGAGCTTCCCCCCCCCCTTTTTTTTTTTAGTTCCACCAGATCTTTACAGTTTAGGAATACAATACTACTACTATGAAGTTGAATTCTCGTCTTCCTTATTTCTTTCTGTTTTGAGGAAAAAGTTCTATTCAGACAACTTGTCCCCCAGTACTGCCAATTTGTAGAAGACTCTTACATGGATGCTTTCTTGAACACTTTAATCTTGACCTCATCAAGTTAAAAATCAATTGTTATCTAGCCCCCTTATCCTCATAAACGACTTCCTATCACCTCCTTTCATTCATATTATGCACCTCTTTCATCATAACCATTTTAGTAGTAACCCCTCTATCTTGAGTACCTCTTGAGCCTTGTATTAGGTGGACTTTAGTATTTCAAAAAATTCACTTCAAGAATGGCTGTGTATTTAGTAAAATATAATAAACAAAAGGACAAAACCTTTTATATCAACATGTTTTGTTCCTTGAAGACCTTTGTTGGATCAAATATAGAAATTTTATGTAGAAACTTGTATTTATCTCAATAAAATTTCTACATTTGCCTTGATTCGGTCCCTCAGAAAATGATGCATATTGGCATAAAAAGTTTTCATTGTCACTTT